TTAAGTACTTGATAAGACACTAACTGAAAATTGCTGATGGAAAATATTTACATCTTCTCTTTAAAACTCTTACAAACACTTAAGAACTCTTCAAAATGTGGGAAACTAAACCCAAGCTACTTCAGCATCCTCAAGTTCACTGCTTCAGTCTGCAGCCTGTGCATCCTTTTTTTCTAGGTGTGAAAGGCTTGCAGTCCAACTCAACAATATTGATAAAACTCTTGGAACTCAAGACTTAATAATGTATTTTCCCATCCTACTGCAGAACCAGGGAAAGCTTCCCCTCTCTGGCACCCAGCCCACATTTTCCCCTGGGTATCCACTGATCTCATTTTCTAAGAGGAACTGAGGGGGAATTCCTGCCAGGCAGCTCTGTGGAAGTTGCCCAAGAAGTTTTAACACCCTATTCCTGGATGATATTGTCCCATCCTATAGTTACCCTGCTTGGCTCCAGCTAGTCTGCAGATGCAGGTTCAAAATAAAATCAACCTCCATTCTGCTTCCTCCCCCTTCTCTGGGCAGCTAAGTGAAATCCAAACATATGGACTCCATAAATCCTTTGTAAATGGCCTCGTGTTAAACACTCAGCCAAAGCAATGGTTATCATTAAACAAATAATGACACCACTAGAGCAGAACACAAATTACACACGGGGCAGATCCTCAGCTGTGCAGCCCAGTTTGCCCAGTGACACCAGGCTCATTGACACTGGTCCCTCAGTGCTGGTGCTGCCTGCTATGAAACCAACCTGGAATCCACACAATCCTCCTGCAAAGCTTTAAGGGGTGCCCTTGCAGGGCCACACTGGATGAAAGGATGTTCTGCAGTGTTTGTGGAAGAGCAGGATGTGAACACTGGGACAGGCTGCCCAGGGAGGGGTGGAGTCACCCATCATCCTGAGGGTATTTAAAAGCTGCGGAGATGTGGCACCTGGGGACTGGGTTTGGTGCTGGGCTGGGTGAATTGGATGGATTTGATGTTTTTTACAACATAAACAATTCTGTGGTTCTGTGACAGCAAATTTTCAATAAACACAGATCGTAATCAAGAATGCATCCACAGCTAGGCAAACCAGAGTAAAACAACTGAAATAAAATACTGCTGGAGACAGGTTTAAATATAGGCTGACTCGAAAGCACGTGAAGAGCTGTTCTACTGCTGGAGCAAACTGTCTCTCAGTAATATGAAATGCCACAGGGAATGTGTCAGAATAGTTTGCTACAACAAATAAACACACACACACCCCAGCCCACTGAATTTTTTCAGTAATTATAAACTCTTACATGCAATCTAAGTAATCCCAGAACTTTCTGAACAGTAATGAAACTGTGGAGCACGTTGCATTAAAATATGTAGCAAAATAATCATCTTAAATTTATTTTACACCTTCCAAGGAACTCAGTTCATCACACTTTTGCTTGTGTGGCATCTGACCAGATTGTCAAAACCCATTCTTACAGGGTTCTGCAGGGTACTATAACTTAAGTGATTCATGCATGCAGCTGTTGGAACTGCTTGTTGGGTTGTGAAAAAGCTTGTGGTGCCAAGTGCTGATCTAGGAGAACTCAGATCTCCATCAGCCGCCTTGGCTCCGAGTTGTTACTGAACAACAGATGGTAGCAGGAGTTAAGCAAACTAAGAAAATATTCTAAGCTAAAGGCCTCACAAGAACTGAAATTCTTGAGAAAATACAAGAACAAGTGTTAAGGTTGGAACTATTTTTCATGTCCAAGTGATGTATGCCACTAAACTTTAAAGGGTACTTTCACTTCTGGCAGCACTCGTTAGGGTGGAAGTCTTCATTTAACTTGGGCAGAAGCAACCACATATGGAATTAATATCACAGCCATTTCAGGTACAGCTCAGAGCCACCACTCCTGCACATGAAGCTGCACTTGCCACAGTGTCTGGCACTAAGGAAAAGAGGAATGAACCCCAAGTTGTGTTGCTTTGCAGTAGATTACAAGCAGCAGCAGCAATGAAGGGACAAGCACTGATGATTTCTCCAGCAGAACAAGGACAGCACTGCAGTTCACAAATGGGAACCTTGCTAGTGCTAAGGGGAACAGAAGTGCACAGGCTCTCTCTCACTGTGTCCTTATCAGCAGCAACAGCACAGAAGGGACAAAGCCAGTGCAAGATGTAAGAAAAACTGATCTAGCAATGATCCCAAACACGACAGGGAGGGTATAGGAGAGTGCACAGAGTGAAGTCTTGTACCAGGGAAGGAAGGAAGTCCCTCTAACTCCACGTTCAATAACTTCTAGTTTTTGGTCTCACCAAGGCAGCACACTCCAGTATAGCTAGGTGAGGAACAAAAGGTATTTTCAGGATTTATAGAAGTTTGTGTTCAGCAGTGCTGATCCAAAGTCACAGGAATAAAGCAATTTTCTATAATACTTCTTTTCTCCATGCCCTGGCTGAGCAAGAAAGAGCCTGCATTCCTGTGACCCATCTCAGTACAGAAATTTCTTCAAACCAGCTCTGTAAGCAGCAGTACAGGCAACTACACCCAACTGAAACCAAGTTCTCTCATTTTTAGAGAAGTGAGGATTTCCAGAACAACCTGGAGTGAAACCACTCAACAGAAGAGAAAACACTTCATGAAGGAAATATTCAAACTGGCTTTCTTAACATTTTTGGGAGGAGACCATGAAAATCTGCATATTGACTACATATTTTCAACCTTACATTTTACTGTATTTAAAATCCTTATACTGGTTATCCCAACTGATCCCAGGTTCCTGAGCTTGTTTTTACCCCATTAAAAAAAATTTTCCAAATCTATTTTGGGGCAGTAAATAAACTTGATATCATGGAAAGCAAAAAGAGAACAATCAGATTACTCATTTGGGGAGGTATTACTCAGTGCAAGAAAGCGTGGGAGAACCAAGCTCCAATGAATGAAATGAAACTCACTGGGATGAAATACATAAAAGTGCATTAAATTCTGTATGTAAATGACTTGGTTGAAAATTGAATCATTTCTTTAGGTTCAGAAATCAATATTCAGCCAAGTGCTGCACTCTACAGCACATCCTACCAAAACACCTAAGGATATGAGTAAGTTTGATCATATCAGCAGTTCTAGAAGAGTAAACAGGATGTAAGAGTGGACACACTCGTAGCCTTTTACCAGTTTCTCACTTCTGGCAGCAGCAATCAATGCTCAGGAGAACGGAAGACGCCAGCAGATCTCAGAGTGCTGAAGAGTTTCAACAGTACTATAAACTCCTAAGTGTGTCCAAAAGCACCACACCTCAACACACAGCCTTGCAGTGCTCAGACACTCATGAAATCCTTGTGCTTTGGCAGACTCTGAAGAGCTCTGATGTGCCCCATGTGTGACCTGGAAGTCGCCAGGCTTCTTGTTCCCCTCTGTGGTTTCTGTGCACTGCAGGGTCTCCAAAGCCTGCAGCAGCAGCAGCTCTGGATCTCTGGCACAGGAGGGTCTGTGCTGCCCCTGCTCCTGCAGCCCAACGAGGTTTGCCTTTCCCCTGGCAAGGACACCTCCATTTCTCTCCTCTCATCCAGCGCTGCTCATCTCATCAGAAACGCCAGTGAGGCTGGTCACATGTAACAGGTCCATGATAAATCTGTGTGACTGTTCCCAATTATGTTCCCACCCTTCCTGTGCCTGGATGTGGAGCTGGACACAGCTTTTGTGAGGATTCACACTAACATTCCTGTGGGCTGAGGTCACACTGACCAGCCCATCATTCCCTAAATTCTTCTCCTCAAAGTCTGGCACAACTCTCACCTTTTTTCCACCACTACCAGGACCATCCCTGAGGTGCCACTGCCAGTCAGCATCCCACTGTACATTTCTTGGTCCAGAATCACAGTCCTACTCTTGGCATGGACATCACTGTATTCTTTTGCATCTTTATGAGAAGCAACTTGAGTAAGATGCTAATTAAATGCAAAGAAATGTGTAATGGGAATATTTGGTTTGGGGTTTTTTTTGGCAGGGTTTTTTTTTTTTTATTGTTGTTGGGCTTTATTTTTTAAGTGTGACATAACTTACATGTTGGCATATAATCACCCTTATTTGTCATGCTGATACATTAGAATTCAAAGAAAAAAATGGGATCAATTTATGCTTTTGCATTTGATTTACATTTTGCTCTTATCTTTGTGGTCTGGTCTGAATTTCAGGCCATATTTTATGAACAGTACAAAATATCTGGGATTAAAAACAAATCTGTTTTATGACTATTTGACCTACAGATTAATGAGGGAAATATGTTAAAACACACTTCCCCTCCACATTAGCACTGCAATTACTACAGTATCAATTGAGCAGTGAGGACTTCAGAAAAAAACCAAAAATTTGGGTAACAATAGCCATAAACTCAACGTCGTGCTGCCACCCTGTGGCTTGAGGATAAAACTTCCGCTGCGAAGGCTGGAGGAGGGATTGTTTTATCTTAAAACTAATCAGATTAAAGAGCCATTCTGCAGGAGGAGCCGCTGGCAGCTGGTGGAATTCTGTGCGAGTCTAAGAGAAATCGTACAGAACAGATCAGGACAGTACTGGTGACCCCATCGCGGTTCTGATAACCTGTGCAAAGGTTATCAAAGGGACACCACCCCTCAAAACATTCAACTGCGTCTTTGTCAGGGAAAAAAGGAACAGAAAAACAGCTGCATCTTACAGAACAAATAAATAAGAAGGGGACCATGATTTAAACTATGACACTTGAGCAAAACAATGTAGGAAAATACAATTAAATAAATCCTAAAATTTAAAATAAATCCTATAACCACAAAAGGTTCAAGCAATAATAAGCTCTGCAAGAGATAAGTAACTTAACATCTATCACAGGGTTTTAATGCAAATCACAGCTATGAGAATAAAAACTTTTAATAAAAGTGTAAGACATAATAATTTGATTCCAGCAGAGTTTTTCCCCAGAGGAAGAAAACAAAATAACAAAATCCCAGAATACACACCACCAGTAAATATTAAAGCTTGTATTACAATTGTAGCAGTTCAAAAGGCAATCAACCGTAAAAGCAATGGTATTTTAACACCTATCAATATAAAATATCTATACAAAAAAGTTATATATGTGTGTGCATGTCTATTAGCCATTAAAATATACAATACTGTGTGATCGCTTTCACCCTATTGCAATTTTAATAATGTAAAATGAAAAGTAGTTTGGAAGATTTTTATTCCAATTTTCTACCCACAAGTATTTGCCTTTAAATTACACAGCTCCTACTCCTTTCTTAAAGACTCATTAACATTTTCTGAGACCTCTTGACTGCTTTAAATAGGTTAACCAATTTACCTCACTAAAAACAATGTTTAAATCTTTGCTACCTTCCCCATCCCAGCAGTGAAAAACCCTGAAGAGGGTGGAGGAAAGAGCAGGTAGAGGTGATCTTCCTCAGCCTTACCTGTCCTAACTCAGAAGCCTGCAGGGAGCAGGATGCTCTCTGGGAAGAGGCCCCTACCTCCCTCTCCTTTTCCAAGCTGCCACACCTGAGGTTGTGCTGCCAGGTTGGGCTCTGGAGTCCCTGTGCTGCTGCAGCAGGTTTGCTCTGCACAATCTGAGTGCTGCTGTTGGGTTGAGGTTTTCCTCCCTCTCCCTGGACAGCCGTACATGTTCCTGGGTCTAAGCTTAGTCTGACAATCCATGGTAAAGCTCTGCAAAGAACAGAGGACAAAGCTTGACAGACACAGAACAAACTGTGGAGGTATTCTGCCACACTCTATCCCAGCTGGAGCTTCCCAGGAACACAGGGCTTTGTGTCCAGGCAGTCAGGGCTCTTGGATCCAGATGGGCGGCAAAGGCAGCACAAAGAGCTTTTAGTTGCAGAATTTGCCATGATGAAACAGTATCACACCTAACCAAAAGCTACAGAGCAGCGGTACATGCAAGTTTCTACAAATACTCCATTCCTGGGAGCTTAATGACAGGTAAGTTTTGCTGGGATTCATTTTTTTAATCCAGTTTGATCCTGTCAAAAGCCAAAGCCATCACGCAATGACTGGTAGGGAGCATGGTGAAAGAGAGAAGTATTTATTCCTTGCATGGTGCTGGCATTTGCTGTTGTCTCACCAATCCAGCCAGAGGCCAGATGAGTGTTTTCAAAAGAAAACAGGCCCAACAAACCTGGGGACAAAGATAACTGTTTCCATTTCTACTTCTTGGCTGCACCTCTTCAAAGTAAGATTCAGAAGATTTAAGCCCTTTGCATTTTGCTGCCACTTCCGAGTGCCACAGCTGATGGCAGCCAACTCAGCACAGAAGCAAAGCATAAATGTCTTGCCCATACTTGTAAGAAAAAAAAAAGGACATTGTCTCTCACTCCCACCTGCATTATTTGGGCATTATGCCCTGTCCTGAGGTAAAACACAGCTGTATCTAATTATCACCTGTTCAGAAAGGAATATAAAAAACACCTGAACTGGCTACAAGTCAGGGCCCAAATGTGTAGGACACTAAAACAAAAAGGAGGGGAAGAGGCTGAGGTGCTGGCTGTATTAAACAAAAGACTCATCCATCACAGAATGCAGAGCTAACATTTATTTATTTTTAATTTTCACGTTGTCTGGATCACCTGTAGAATGGCTCACTTTTCTCTTGGAAGAAAGCAGACTTCTGGACTGAACTGCAAAATATTTGGGAGTTCCTTTGTGCACAGGACAAATGCTATTGAAGGAGACAGCTGAAGTGTTTTTGTTCTTTTCAGTGAGCTTTTTTATAAGGTTGTGGGTTTGTTCTAATACAGTCTGGAGACTACTGCAGTAATTTACCACCTTAGACTGTCCTTAAATACCTGGTGTCTATGAAACCACACATTTCTAGAATTGACTCAGTTATTAGTCTTAAGAGAAATTGTTTTATCCTGATCAGATCAGATCCTTTTGGACATAAAGATCTGCTTTTTGAGACATATGTCACACAGGCCTCAGAAGTTTCTAATCCATCTGTAAAATCATTACTGCAGGATATTTTTATCTATCAATATGCTGGCTCCTCAGGGGATCTCCTTCCCTTGGAACAGCAGGCAAACTTTGATTTTTGACACTTTGCACTGAGTGGGAGGGGAAGAACATACAATTGCAACAAAAAAGCACACGATTAAACCCAATTTCCTGCTCAGCTAATAAACCAGACAATTTCTCTGGCTCTCATTTACAGTCCTAGGGGTACCCTTTGTGTTGTATTGTAACTCTATTACAGCTCAATGATCAGTGGCAACAGACAAGTCCTTGTGAGGAGGAGTTAATTAGGCAAAGAGAAAAATCTTTATACTTTTCACCCAAAGATTCTTCCCATCACACAGGTTTTTTATTTTTTTTCTGTAGGCATTATAAAGATTTACAGTCTCCAGTCTCACCTCCCATTGTTTATCTGAGAACTGCAGGACTAGAAAAAGAACTTTCCTGAATAATATTTGAGTCTTTGGGTAGGCACAGGCAGTTTTCTCACCTTCTGAAGCCACATAAGCAGAGTTGGTAACCACTGAACCCCATTCCTCACAAGTATCAAAGACCTCCCCTATGCAAGAGCTGGCCATGCTGCTCAGTGCTCCTCCTGCCCTTCCCCTCCCAGCCTCTAACCTTCTTCCAGCCCTCCTGCTTTTCTTCTCCCAGCTCTTCACACTGCATTGGGTATCTATCCTAATGCACAACTGTCTTTCAAGCAGCTAGAGGATAACAAATAAGAACATTAAGCCATGAAATTTATGTTATTGTTTACAGAGGACAGCTTTCTATGAAATACAGCAGTGAGTAAATGAGCCAAAAAAACATTTCTATCACTAGTTTGAAACACAAATCATTTGTAACAACATGTCTCATCTCTCCCAGAGCCTAGAAGCAAAACATTATTTTCAATCTCTCACCCTCAGGAGAGAGTAAGAAAAAGCAGACACATACTTAAAGGTTTTATTTCGAAAAATATACTTGACTGAAAAACACTTTAGTTCACTGCTTAAAGCTTCAAATGAAACAAAGACAAGTCTTAAAACTCTTTCCTAAAACTAACATCTAAATGCAGTAAACCACAGGTTCTTCCCATCCATAAAACTCAGCTTTTTGGTTTAAAATGATTGCCACAGGAGCTGCCCTGTGATACCAGCTGGGAACAGCACCAGAGATCTGCCACCACCCTGACTTCATCTATGAGAGCTTTGAAAAGATAGATAATGCTATGGAATTCCTGCACATTCCAACTAATCCTGCACTACCAAGTCACCTGACTTGAGACTTTTTTGTTTGTTAGGGGAACGAAGATAAGACACATTTCAGAATTGCTCAAAATGAAGACTGGAGTAAGAACCAGTAAAGTGTCCCATTTTCACTGGCATGTAGAACAGGAAAACTAACCAGATCCATCAGCACGTCCAGGCTGGCACAGATGGTCAGTCTAAGCTGGCACAGAAGGTTGGGAATGAAGTGACACCCCTCAGGAAACCCTAAAGGGCACAAATGCTTTCGAAGTGTGCCTGCATAGTTATACAAAGTGCTACACAGGCTGGAGAGAATGTCATCCTGCACCTCACTGTGGCTGATACACCCAAAGCCATGACACTGCAGCTATGAAGAAGAGCTGCTCTCCAGCAACAGCCCCCCACCCTTTGCTAAAGCATTTACCAGTCTTCTTGGGTAGCTGCAGGATTCTGACAGGAAAATACCCAGAATATCTCCAACAGAATGTCAAATAAAGATGTCCCCACGGGGGAGGAGTCAGGCTTTCAAATTGCACTGCCATGGACTTTCCACCTCTTCAAACAGAAATGGCTAAAGTGGAGGGAAACAGGTAAAACAAGGTTACTCCACCCAAAACATACTAATTACTGCTGAGAAGACTGGGAAGCATGAGTGGCAGGCTTTGCTTCAGGAGTTCAGGGCAAAAAATTTGAGAAACAAACCATTAGCTGTGCCACAAGGATTTCTTTTCTTGTGTGTGTCAAACCTATTCCTTCTATCCTACAGTCTGAAATCAGCCACTCAAATCAGCATTTTCCTGAGGTAAAGACCACTATAGTTTTCTGTTAGGTACAGTTGGTTTGCCAGATGAAAAGTGGGGTTTTTTTATGAAACATAGCAAAATCAATAAAACCATTTTGAGGGGCTGTCCAGTAGTACTTTACTTCACTCTTACAGCACAAACAACACTAAGCCTCTGCAGTGATTTGAAAAGAAAATGAGGAATTTTCTCATTTTGGAAATGAGGAATGAGTTGGTTTATGGAGAGGTACCCCTAAGTGCTGACCATTATGAGCTATTTTGAGTGGGTATTCAGAACAATGTGAAGTTTACAGTGTAGGTGACAAAGTCATACAGATAAGCTGCTTTCCAAGAAAGACCTTTCAGTGAAGGTACTGGAAAATTTACTAATGAGAAAAACTTTTCTACTCCAAGCCTGGTGTGCCACGGCTCTTTCTATCAAAGTTACCATAGAAAGATTAAAACCATTCAAGCTGTCAGTAAACACAAGATGTCTGTGATAGCTTAAAAAAATAAACTAGAATCAGCAAATTCTCTTATTTGGAAAAGCCTTCAGGCCTGGCTGGTTTTCCTAGTAAGCTCACAAAGAAAATGTTGTGTGTCTAGAATGGAGTTACACTCACCTGAAAGCACAGAAGGAGCAACTGATTTCTATTCTGATCCCACAAAAGTGTGTCCTAACATGACCAACAAGCGAAGAGAATATTCTGAATCCCGTATCACCAGGAATGAGCACAGAGTGGTCCCTTCCAGACAGGCATATCACAACTAGGGAAAAGGAGAGAGCCGACTCAAAATAATCTAAAAAGCTTTAAAATATAAATGTTTATTTAGCTACAATATTTAAAAGTACAATATAAAGATATAAAACATAGAAATTCCATAACTAATTCACATGCTAAAAGGATTGTTTGATCAGCTGCAAGGAGAAGACTTCATGAAATTCATGGATGTTTTAACCACAAGGGTTCAGAGTTTTAGCCATCAAGTTTCAGACTTGAAATACTGAACAACCACTGCAGAGAACTTGCTCTCCCACATCACCATAACTAGGGGAAAAAAGAACAAAAAAATCAGAAGAAACAAAAGTCAGTCATGTTTCTGGAACATAACAATGGCATACTATTCCATTATCAACTGCAACCACGGGACTCCCACACAGCACACTCAGGATTTCTTTATACCACAGAATTGTTAACAATGAGAGAAAAAAAATTGAGATTATTCCTTGGAAGTGCATGCATTCAGTACTGGCAGCATGCAATATCACTGGTGGGAAAGCAAGAGAAATTTTTGCCTCCTACAGCATTTAAGTAAGAAGCTGAACTAGACTTGTACAACAGTTGATTAGAGTGCTTCACACATCAATCTTGGTTTGCACGTTCCAGACAGTTTTACTGCTGCTAAAGCATGGCAAGAGTTTAACTCCTTTATGTATATGAGCTAGATATCTGTGGCACCCAACCACCAGGCCATGTGTAATTAAAATAAGTTTCCAAACTCGAAAGGCACTTACTCAACAGCGGAGCACAAAGAGCAGGTAACCGTGTTACAGCAGCTGCAGAGCCTGCTGCAGCTCTGGCAGACGAAGCGGTCACAGTGCGCACACGCCTCCTTCACATCGGCCGTTCTCACACACGACGAGCAGGCTCTGGACGCTCCCACCGGCGGAACTGCTCGGCAAAGACACGGCAAAGAAGGGATGAGCTTTAGAGCAAGGCAGAGAAAGCGGCTGGAAGCCCCAGGAGCTGCAGAGCGCGGCGCGTCCGGGCACAGCTGCAGGCGGCAGCGCTCGGCAGGACGCTCGGGAATGCGAAGGGACGGGGAGCGCCGCTTGGAACTTTCTTGGTTCTTTCTCAGTAGCAAGACTGAGGGATACTAAAACTCAAATCCGTCAGCTCAAATCTAACACTTCCTTTAAGGAAAATCAATAAAGAAGACCTACACACCACAAAACCATCATAGTACAGACCTCCTTGTGAGGGGAGGCCAAGGGACAGCACTGGTCTCTGTAGTGACCAGGGGCAGGAACAGAGGGAATGGCCTCTGTTGTGACAGGGGAGGTTTAGGTCGGATATTAGGAAAAGGTTCTTCACCCAGAGGGTGGTCTGGCACTGCAACAGGCTCCTCAGGGAAGTGGTCACGGCCCCAACCCTGCCAGACTTTAAGAATCATTCCGACAACGCTCTCAGGCTCACGGTGGGAACGTCGGGGATGCCCTGGGCGGGACAAGGGTTGCACTTGGATGGGTTCCTTCCAGCTCGGGGATGGCGGGGTTCTGTGCCACGGCCCGGGCACTCACCCCTGTCCGCGGGCCGCCGCCGCAGTTTGCCGTCGTGGCCGATGAGGAGCTGCCCGCTCCAGCGGGGCCCCTCGCCCTGCGCCTCCCCGGCCGGCCCCGGCTCCGCCGCACGGGCTGCGGCCGCCGCGCCCTCCATGTAGGCCTGGGCACCCCTGAAGAGCAGCCGCCGGGTCCTCTCTGCCGGCGGGAGAGGAGAGCAGAGTTAGGGGCGGGCTCCCCACGCCTGCGGGCCGCGGCGGGCCGGCACATCCCCCCGGCGGGGCGGCCGGCCCGGCGCTCTCCCCTCCGCGCCCCGCTCACCGAACACCTCCCGCCGGTACTCCTCGCCCCGCACGCCGCGGCTCAGCTCCCGCAGCCCCACGCGGGTCTTCAGCTGGAGCGGGGCCGCGTCCCCGAAGGGGCAGGAGCGCTTCGGCATGGCCGGACGGACCCGCGCCCGCTCCGCCCCGCGCCGCGTCACGGCCGCGCCACCGCCTCCCTCACATCCCGGCCCGGGCTCTCGGGAGCCGCGGCCGCTCCTTTCTCTCACAGGGACGCGAAAGCTTCGTCCGCAGCGGAAAATTTCTCTTCCCGCCGCGTCCCGAGCGCCCGGCGGGGTTGGCAGAGGCGCCGGCCCGGCCCCGCTGCCCCGCCCGCTGCCACCGCCCCTCAGGCGTCACCTCCGTGCGCCCGCAGCGGGCAAAGCGAAACCGCCTCTGGGACTCGAGTTTGTCGATAAACTCAGAATCACGGATATGCCGGGTTGGAAAGGACCCACGGGGATTATCGAGTCCAGTTCTTAGCCCTGCACAGGACAGCCCAGGACCGGCGCCGTGTGCCTTAGAGCGTTGTCCAAAGAGCTTGAGAGCTGAGAGCTTCTTGAACTCTGCCAGGCGTGCGGCTGTGACCGCTTCCCTGGAGAGGCTGTTCTAGAGCCCGGCCACTCTCTGGGTGAAGAACCTTTCCCTAAACCTCCCTGACACAGCTGGCGCCCATTCCCTCACGTCCTGTCGCTGTCACCAGAGAAGAGATCAATGTCTGCCCCTCATGAGGAAGTTGTAGCTGCAGCGAGGTTTCCCCTGAGTCTCCTCCAGGCTGAGCAGACCAAGCGCCCTCAGCTACTCCTCACACTCCTTCCCCACTAGAGCCTCCACCTTCCTTGTGGCCCTCCCTTCTAATCTCTCTTACGTTATAATTCTTATTTATTTTGTGGCAGACAAAGCTGCCCATGGCATTCGAGGTGAGGCAGCCCCGGCCCAGAGCAGAGCAGCAATCCCCTCCCTTGCTGGCTGGCGATGCTGTTCCTGATGCCCCAGGACAGGATTGTCCCTCCTGGCTGCCAGGGCACAGCTCACTCACACCCATCTTCCCATCAACCAGGACCCCCAGGTCCCTCTCCTAGTTCCCCAGTCTGTTTCCACATCCAGAGGTGCCCTGTTCCAGGTGCAGAAACCAGCCCATGTCCCTTTCAAACTTCATGCAGTTGTGATTGCCCAACCCTCTAATTTGTCGAGGTCTGTCTGTAAGACCTCTGCCTTCCAGGGAATCAATAGCTCTTCCCAATTTTATCTGTAAACCTACTTAGTATCATTTCCAGTCTTACATCCAATTTATGAACCCTCTTTTCCCTTCTTGGCAGGCCCCCACACTACACTGTGCTCTTTGTGCAGCCTAAAAGAGCCTTGCCCGGGTTTGGGTTGTGTGAATGCTGTGGAACCAACAAAAATATGCACAAGCTTGAGAATTTCATTTTTGAAAGACCACCAGGGAGGCTGGAGAATCCCTGTCTGGCCAGGAGGCTCTGGTGGGCTCCTCAGCTCCAGCCAACATCAGGAGTGGGTTCACCACTTATGTGCACAATGAATTTTTGGGGATTGACACCCAGTTTCAGCTAAATCTGGAGTTCTCCAAGACCTTCTTCTGTGTGAAAGGGAATTACTGCAATTAATTTGCAATTTACAAATGGGCTCTACAGCACCGCAGGTGTGGTTACATGGGTTAAAAGTATCAGACACCATTTCAAGTGGCAGCCAGGCTGGGTACTATGTATATTTTGAAAATACATTGTTTTCCTCAGGGCAAACAAGTTTAAAACTGTTGGAGTTTAGGTGCTATGTTTTGTGTCACTTGAAGGTGATCTGTCAAGACAGTTCTATTTCTTCCAGAGGTCTCTGAATTCAAAACTTGCTCTGTATGTACTGTGGACAGAATCACAACCAAGTACAGGAGCGATTTTTCCATGAATGAACTTACAGTCTGCTAAGGGTGAAGGACTTGTTCCCGCTTTCTTTGTTTTTGTTTTGGTCAAAAACAAGTTATCAAGCAAAGACTTATGTTTCTTCCTGAAAAAAACAAAGAAACAAACAAAAACTCTAAACACCAAAACCCAGACAATAACAACCTCCTCAAAAAGTAGTGATAGAATCAGTATTTTAAAAATATTTTTAAAAGCCTTTCTTTCATTCAGAAACTCATAAAAATGTACATTTTCAACTTGCATTTTCAATACTAGCACAAGATTTAGAATGGCATAGATTAATGTGCTGAAAATGGGCCACAATACCAAATGGACCAACTCTTGTCTGGTTTCATTGCTCAAGTTCTTCCAAAACTGCTGAAATCCCAAGACCAGTAGCAGAGAGCACAGTGCCTAACTATGGCTGTAGGATCACAGGCTATCCTGAATTGGAAGGGACACACAAGGATCATCAAACTCTGCATCCTGGCTCTACCCAGAACAGCCCTAAAAATCACACCAATGCCTGAGAGCATTGTCCAAACACCAAAATGATGAGAGTGAGTTTCTGGACTGCTAATAGTTTGCAGGTACAACCACTCTCGTTTCACACAGGTTAATCTGATTTTTTGTTGTTGTTCTTCTGTAGAGCTGATGAGCTCAGCCTTCTGGTCTGTGGAGCAGAAGCCGTGGTTGTAATTCACAGCAATTCCCAAAAATCCCTTCTGAACTCCAAAATCTTACTCCTGCCACTCTTTCTTTATCTGCAAGGATTTCTGCTTTGGCTTTTTCTGCACATACTTGCAAATGCATGCTTAAGGATGTTCAGCAGAATTTTCCAACTGCATATAGAAAACTCATGGCCTTTTCTTTCTTAGGAAACTACTTTGTAAATATTCACTAGATAGACCCTCTGATGTCCTTGAAGTTCTCTGGGGAATATGGGTTAATCAGAATGTAATTGCAGCTGGAAAGAGCCCTGACAGGATAGAGGAGAGTGGATCACACATGTTTCATCAACATGGCATGGGATAAACATGGATGGAACCCAGCTGTCTGGGAACTGGATGAAATATGAAAAAAGAGATAAAAGCACTATTCCACTTGTGGGGAAGGAGTGCTCTGAAACACTGATCTCAAATATGAAGTAGATTTGAAAGGAGCAGCTCATGCTGAAACAGTGCTGCCTTACACTTAAGAGTAAATTTAAGGGTACTTTTGCAGAATCACAAGATATTCCGATTGGAAGGGAGTCACAAGGATCATCAAGTCCAGCTTTTGCTGAGGGCTCATCACATTTGACACATTGCCACCGCTACCCCACTGCAGGAATCTCCTGTTGCAGCTGAGTCAGCCTCGGGTGGTGACATCTCTTAACTGCTTTGTAAGACTCACCTTCACTAACATCTGCTACTGACCAGCTCTCTACTCTGCAAGCTATGAGAGCAAAATAATTCTGTCTGCTCTGTACCAGCAGGCCTGAGCACCCTGCAGGGAGGGAATTGGTTCACCTGCCTGTCTTCTGAATTGTTACCCAGCAGAATGGTGCTGAGTGTTTTATTAGTTCCAGAGGAGCGAGCCTTGAGGAAGATCCACTGGTGATTTAGAAGTAGATAAATAGTGATCCAGGCCTTAAAATACTTTTTCTATCCCTTCAGCTTCACTTATACCAAAGACCTCCTCTCCATGTCCTTATAGTAAAACTTCCAATTTTTTTCTATTCCTCCATTTCTAGGCCATTTAGAAAGATATCAAAGCACATCACACAGAGGTGGGACTCTGCCTCCCACAGCTCTTTAAATAGGGAGATTTCTTAGTTGAATTTGTATAAAATGAGTGGCTTTTGGCCGACTCGCTGGTTCCTCTTTAATGTTTTCATGCTAAAACGGTTAAAGAAATAATCTGGAAATTCTTTCAAGTGGAAATTATATGATAGTAGCTGATATAGTTGGCCATGTGCCAGCATGCAGTCTGTGTTATGTGGGATGGGCTATCAGGATGGGCACACATCCCCTGGTGGGCCTAGGGTAAAGCACCACTCCCTATGTGCTCAGTCCCACTGCACTCTCCTTTCTCTGCTCTGCAATGTGGGTCTGAAGATAAAATTGCATAAAACTGCTTTTACTGGAAGGGCTAGGGGCTGTTTTCTTTGTTTTGTGTCCCTTTCCTAATACATCAGACTTAACAGATGTTTACAGCTGGGATCAGAGGGCTACACCTTGTTCAGACATTATCTGTTCACAAGAGCGTGTTGTTTCATGAGGACTTGCTAGCACAGAGTTCATGGCCTCATCTTGATGAGCTTTTGATGAGGTTCATGCATCCATAAAATATTTGACAAGCTGGTGATATGCAGGATTAAGGGCTGGCTCTTGAGACATGCTGCTGTTAAGAGAAGGCTCTGCCATCTTGTCACCCCAGCCAGTGCTTGCTCTTAAATTAGCACAGCATGGTTGAGTTTCAGAGTGTGTTTCGTTCCTGCCAGCCCTGGGATGCACCAGTGCTGCTCAGCAGATCAGAGCACCCGAGGGTCCCACTCACTAGAGGGCACCCTCAAAACTATACATTATTTTTGCTGTTACAAAGATGTTATTGTTCTGCTGACAGGGGTTTACAAAAGGGCTACTTTCCCTGGGTTTTTTTTCATGGTTGTTGTTGTTCCTGGCCCTCCCATAGTGTGCTTTCATTTCTGTTGCACTGTTTTCTTTCAGTTTGCTTCTTTCCAGATTATTTTAATCTGTCATGAAAAAAGGAATATGAACTCTGACAGTGAGAACTGCTATCACTGAGCTAACATAGTGCCAAGGGTTCTGTTTTCTTTTTCTTCAGGCAGCAATGTTTTTGATTTAATGCTAGGTGGTTGTCCTAAGAATTCTTTAAATCTTTGTCCAAGTAGTGCTATTATTGAGTGTGGATTTACGTGGGAGAGGCTCTGAGAGGTAGCTCTGTCCTTTCACTATCCCCACACAGTACAAAGATCCTCTCCCACACACGGCTTGGGAAGGGATAGGCAAAACCTTCCTCCCTCCACACTGCAGCCGCATCTGGCCCTGCTGTTGTTATTTTGTTATGGAAGTGAATCCTTGCTTTGAGACAGCTTTATGTTGCTCCTGGTATGCTCTCCTCTCTTCATTCCCAGGAGCAGCCGTTCAGCTGGAATAACTCAGGGTGCATCTGCTCAGCTCAAAGGGGCTGTGGCAGTGCAGGCTGGCCAAGAACCCAGCTCTGCACTCACCAAGTCTAACAAACCATCCCCAGCAGCAGCCCACAAAGTGTGTTTATTTGAAATATATGTGGCTGTGTTGTCAGCCCTGCACAGAGAAGATCTCTGTGCACAGAACAGAAGCTGCACAGAGTCAAGGCGATTCCCTGAACGTTGCCAGGATAGCATGCCACAGCTACAGGGACCATCAC